AAGCTCTCGGACAAGCACTGAGCATACAGTGCTTATTACTATACGTTAGGTAAGGGCAAACCCGTTATATATAATTACCATATAAGATGCACAGGAGCAACATATTACAGTACTTAAATTTAATTTAAATGCTTCAGGGCCACAATTGGTGATTGATTTTTTTTTTAGACGAAGCCTTCGCAGAGACGAAGTCGAATATAACACCTAGGCCCTGTGATTCTGAACTGAAGTACATTGTACACGTCAATTTTGTATACAGCGCCCTCTTTGGGCGAACTGCAAGTTTCGACCCACGATCATTTCTTCTAATTTGATTGTCCTCATTTTTTGAAAAAATGCTGTTGTTTCCTTTATCATTCAAAATGACAGTCAAAAGTGATACTTATCGTCTGGTCAGTTCAGTTGCATGCTTGCTGGCTCGTGGTAAAAGAGCACTCCTTCAGCGAAAACTGTTCTCAATGTGAAAATGCTTTAATAGCCTATGCTGATTCGCGTTTTCGTTGTCTAAATCGTAATTGATAGTACAGGTGGTGATAACATCAACTGTCTTCATCTAACCTATTCAGCACTGAATTAAATATTTTGTTAATCGCGGTCGAACTTCTTGATTGTGCTGGAAACGTTGACAGTGTTAAACGTGTTTCTTTTTCCACTGTAGGTTCACAAGAAAAGAACAGTTGCACCCATGCCCCATAATGTAGTGTTCCAAAACTATTCTATAAATATTCATATATGACCCGGAAATGCATACGTACGACATATGTCCCTCGATGAACTTTCGGATCCATCCATGTCGATGTCCAAGCTATTAATAATAAATAGCAGCTCTGTTCCGATATGTGTGCATGAGGTAATATAACACGACAAGCCTACTGTACACTTTATGTTCGGTTGGTTCACGTTGGCAGCGTTTAGATTGTAATATTTCACGTTGGCATTGCTGGGCTTCTTAGTGGTCCCTCCACCTTTGTGTGCGAAATAAAGTGAAGTGAATGAAACACTAAGAACACTGCACATGATACAGGACAATGAGTTCATCTAATTAGACTGTCAATTTCTGACATACAGGTATAGTATTGAAGTCGTGCAACAAGAAGCAAGGGCAACACACCTGCACACAGTGCATCAATTGCCACTGCAGCAAGTGTTGAGTTCACGGGTTGCCAGCTGAGTGAGTACACCCGGCAGTACACTGCTTTGCTATGGAAGCTGACAGGAGATCGGATGTGAAAGCCCCTCCATTGACAGGTACATGGACTCGAGCGCTTGTGTTTTTGTTAAAATTGCTGACTTCCTGTGTCATTTTTTTCTCAGTTTGTTACTGTGACTAGTGGAGATATTTATATTACTTTTAATTTGCAAGCTTTATTGGAATTTGATCAGTTGTTCTAGGCCCACTCCAAAGTAGGGCCTAACCTACTTATGTATACTATTTGGAGTATCTGAGCATGGAAGAATTTTCCTCCAAAGCCCCTCCCATGTCTATATCATTGCTCGGCCATGTCAACCATTGTATTAGGGCTGTGCCGAATAACCGAATATTTGATCGATTGTCAAATATTTGAATATTATTTTTCGAATTTGAATATTTGAATATAAAATTCATGAAAAGAAGAGGAAAATTTTCTTTTGTTTTAAATGAAAAAAATTGAACTATGGAGGCTTGGAAGCAGATTCAATGAAAAGCATCAGATATCTTACGATTTAAAAGTAAATTATTTATTAAGCAATTTGAAAGGAATAGAATTTTCAACAGGGCAAGAAGTCTTGTTCTTCTCTTCAATTTTGCTAAATCATGGCTGGAGATACATGTAGATGTGAGAAGCTACCATATTGATCATAATGTACAGTTGTGTGTGTTATTGCAACTGATTTTGTATGTGGTTTGCTCATCAACAATCTGCCAGTTGGTGCGACCAAAATCAGATATTCAATCAAATTGAAGGTCAGATATTCGAATAGTGAATTATTTGAACTGAAAAAAGTAAAAAGTATCAAATTGAAACGTTAGAGTCCTAGTTACTCAGACGACTGTTGTAATACATACTGGTACTTCATGTACTGTAGCTTATGGTCACTTATGCAGTCACCGATGATGCATGTAGTTCCATGATGATGTTTCCTATGAAATTCATCTCAATCTTCAAAGCTGGGCCCACCATTTCTTACTACAAATTAACTTGTTTTGGTAGTATGTTTTTAGCCAGTTTACTGATGAAGTAACAATTACATGTAGATTGAGTAAGTTCAGCCCTGATGCTCATTGGGAAAGTTTGATTATTGGAGCCCATTACGTGCCATTTGCGGCACAAACTGCAGATTTCTCAGACATCGTTTTGGGTCCAAGTGTTTTCTGCCCAGATTTAAATATCTACTAATTGTACATTACTCAATCAATGTCATGGATGTCCTGAACATTACGGCTGAATTGCTCAAGCTAGGCGATAGTATCTTTCAATCATGTCCAAATGTTAAACTTGCTTAGACACAGAGGATCAAGTTGTAAGCCTGTGCCAGGTACCCAGTTGCCCACCCATTGATATCAAAACCTTGTTCCATTTTTTGGGGGGCCAGGTACCTGTAAAAAAATCCACATACAAAATGTATGTGAACTTTAATAGTGAACTGCAGAATTGCTGAGAAAAACACTGTGCCGCTGCAAAACCTCGGGCACATGATCTGCCCGAATTGCATGCAATGCCATTTGTTAAGTGTTTTTACATTTTAAGGGTACTGGGGGGGGAGTAACCTGGGTACCCAGTATTGACATAAAACAGGTACCCAGTTCCAAAATACCTGTAAACACACACCCATAGATCTTTCCTTTTTTTGCAGGAGCATAGCTATCAAATTCAATGTGGCCAATCAAGAAACCAGTGCCAGCCTTCTTGTAACAAAATGACAATTAATTCATCCTCACATGTTCTGTGGCACAATTGGGCCAAACTGTACTCCTTTTCCATGTTGGTGGACCATCATTTGTGGTTAAAGGGAGGCTTCAATTACTTTGTGTTTTGCGTGGTCGTCAGAAGCAAAATATAATATTCCATAGGTCCAGGGGTACACATAATGTAGTGATGTTGTATGGTTCCAGTGGTTTAAAGCAATATTTGTTTAAAACGGAATGTGATTTCCATACATGTAGGCCAAAGGATGCAGATAGGATGATGAACTCGTTCCTACACCACAAGCAACTTGTACAACCACTTAAGTTTCAGTGACTTAAAGTCAAAGCTTCATGACAGATTAACTTAAAGTTTACCGCCAGATTTTGCTGTGTGATATGCGTGCCACATGGAATTGCAAACATTTAACTGGTAGTTCGGCTTTATGTACCCACACTTACTCACCGGACAGTTGTCTGGGGAACCAGTTTAAGGGCCGGCTTCATTTGACCCGTAAATCTACTACATGTATTTCCCCTTGCAATTGCTGCAACCCTGTCATGATATGTGGAAGTTGTGTTTCGGTAAGATTGATAATAAAATAATAGTAATAATTCATTCTTGAAAAGTGCCAGACATTTTCAAATAATCTTGAAGCTTCTTAGAATTGGATAAAATTGCAATAAAACAAAACGAAGGTGATTATAGTGAAATACATTTAAATCCTTTAAAAGATTACAATTAAAACCATCTTTCAACTGGTTTTAAGTTGGGATTGTGTTAGGTCCAAGTTGTGAGGAATAAACTAGGAATTTCATTTTCATTTTTGCATTTTGCAAAAATTCTGGAAGCTGAATGCAGCCATGTCACACCTTGGCATGCTCCACTTGCACTGGGTTGTGTAGTGTGTGCTACATACCTGATGGGTTTCCAGTCTAATATACCTCATCACAGGGAATTGGAATGGGTCGTGGTGAAGTGTGGGTCCAAAGCATAGGGTGTCAAAAATGTGCATCTCCACACCAATGCATGATAGTGAGCGACTGACTTGTTCCAGCCCCAATATTCAAGGTACATGTAAAATGTGAAAATCAGAATTTCTGAAACAGTCTAGGTACAGTGATTCATCGAGGTCCATGTTGACAGCATCGGTACATAATAAGTCACATCACAGAGATCGATCTGTAATCAAAATAACTCACATTTTTACCAGACTCAGGCCGAGTCCTTCAAGTCTTTACCTCCAAGGCCAAGATCAGGTCCAGTATGTGCGAGTCTGAGTCCATGAAAAAGTGGACTTGCATTTTCTGAGTAAATGCTTCACTGTCCACCAAAACCATCAGATTTCACCCCCCCTCCCCTCACAGCCCTGGATGTTTAATTAGAGTTATGACATGAGAAAATCAGCATTACTACTTATGATTTTGTTGACTGGAGAAATTTCCTGTTTTGCCACTTATCTCATCACTTCATGGAGCTGCTATGGTGGTCAGGTTATGGTTCAATCAAATTCATTGTGAGTGCATACTACAGTCTAGTTCCTGATGAGACGTGCATGTAACTTGGTGAGTTCCATGTATAAGTCATGCATCTGTGGGAGTTACCAGCTTGGGACTTCAGTCCCTTTCCTATAGAGTACCGAAGTAAGATATCACTGTAAACCAGAAAGTGTAGTGCAAGCCACTTGCGCATGTTGGTTCACACGTTGATTCTCGCTCTAATGCCTTTTACACACACACACTTGTGCGCGTGACATAGTCACTTCAGTACTCTATAACCCTATGTGTTAAATACAAATGATGCCACAGTTTGTCAGTTTATCCTTGTTCAGGAGCACTGCTGACTGGTCAGCTAGCTTTGGACTTGTGTGTCACAGTATTTTCCATATATCACAGCTTCTCTGTGTCCACTTTGCCTGATTCATACAGACCTGATTTTGGCACCTAGTTGAGACGCATGTATTCACATTGGCTCATACAAGCTACATGTAGTTTAGAAACATCCTTGTTTGTGTGACCGGTCTGTCCCGTACCTGTTCTGTGCAAAACACAAGAGAAGATGTACGTGTAGTCGAGCTTTTAAGATGTGGAAGACGATATACTGTGCCTTACAATGTATATGTATGCTAACAATGTAATGTGCATCTTTCATGTTAACATTTTACAGTGTGCTATCATTGTAGACTCGTAAGTTCATAAGACTTAAGTTAACAAATTAAACAGGCCTATAGGCTGGGGGGGTTGGGTTCAAATGAATCCCCCCCCCCGACTTCTGAGTTCCCCTCATTTTTTTTTTTATAATAATGTTCATATACCATTTGCTCATTACTCAGCTCCTGATTGAGGGCGCTGGGTGACGAGCAAATTCATATGCTGTGAATATTTCTGGCCTAATTTCCAGGGCCACGATGTGAGCCTCACACTGCCAAAAGGTCCACTTTCTAGTTTGACTACCCCCCCCCAGTCTCTGGTCAGGCAAGGGGGCCTGTTAAACCAACATTTCTTTTCAAAGATATCAATCACCCCTCCCTGTACAGTTTCTTTGTGTGTGGTTATTCACTGATAAGCACAGCAATATGTACAGTGCATGCAATGTGCTGTGCATTATGGGAATATTGGTCTTTGTAAATAACGCAGGGTTCATTTTGTGACAAATCAGCATGACAACATTAGAGAAGCTCTTCATTTGTAGGTCAAACCATAGAGCTAAACTGTCAGAGTGGTCTGACTGTGTCTATATGAAACAAAAGCCAAACTGGCTAGTGGCTTAGACTGCATTGGAAAGTAAATATTTCAGTCTAGACTCGAGACATGCATTAGGCTGGCTTGCAGTCAGAACAGCACACTGATTTACTCGTCACCAAATCTACTGTATTTGTATTATGAAAGAGGTGTGGATGTCTGCATCAGGCCAAGTGTACAAAGGTGGTCCAAATTTGTGTTGTTCACACTTGTTCGTTGATGAGAATGTTTGGCAGTCAACCGGGGTGTCATGTTGCATAGGAGGCTGTTTAATGAAGCACAGCTTGTCAGTAGATACTGGTATTTTTCACCATGATCTTATCAAATGACTCTGTTCACAATTCAGAAGTTTAAGGATCATACGGTATTTTGAATTTAGTTCAAAAGGAAAAACCCCTCAGACAAATTGCCAGTAGCATCATTTTACCTTTTTTTTTTGCTTTATTGAAGAATGTAAAGTCACTATGATAGGTACAAGTACATGTCTTCATTGGATACTATCATGAACACCCCCTCACAGTCTCAATAGTCTCAATTCTCCCCTCCCCCCCAAAAAAAATCTACACAGTAAATAGAATTAATGGTCAAGTTACTCAAATGTTAGCAGTTTCAAAGTTCTTATATTTTGAGTTTTACTTCCATGTTAAAATAATGTACATCTTGTAGAGGGCAGACCAGGACATTGATGTAACAAAAGTTGTTAGATGTGTTTTAACAGTAAAACTGAAAAAGAAAGTCATGAAGCTAATTGTATAAAATGAAGTTTAGCATGTAACTTCCTTTAATAGACTGGTCCGTTAAGCCCCGACCTGTTGTTTCCAGACCAACCACAGCCATGATTTATGTCTGATATGTGTGCACAAATGTTTAACATGTGCCCGCACATGTGAAGCACGCGGCTGAAACATGGACTGTAATGTGGCATTAGAGAAGAGCATATAAAGTGCGCACATGCTCAGTCCGTTGGGATTACTGAATCGGACTATTGTCAGTCTGTCTCTATTATTCTTCACTTCCCTCCTGTTCATTATTTATGGTTTGATAGAAAAGAACGTTTGTTGAAATGGCATAGAATGAGATGGGATGAGGCTTTTGTATCAGGGACACTGAATCAAACCCTAGATGAGTAATAATGTTTAGAGCTAGTCCATCAGGCAGGGAATTTGCATTTAAATCGATTATTCAAGTGATCACATACACAGCAGATGGCATCAAGATGTTGGAATATTGCTCATACGTGCCATGTGTTTTAAGATCTATTGTTAATAGAGGTATTGGCATTACATGTTTGGCATTACCAGGAACCCATCCGATGTAAGCATTGCAAACTGAAATAGCATCAGTGCAAATGTATAAAGTGCTTCTTGGAATTACCTGTATTTGTATTGTATGGTTATGTATTGTATTTCATTGTACAAGTGGTGGTGTGTGGGGATAGAGTTTCATTTTGTTGCCGTTAATGGCAAATTTGTAGAAAAGGGAAATGTTTGTATCTTCAGTGTTTAACAACTAAAATATGTTTGCATTGATCTTGGTGATTGACAAGGATACCAGTATGTAAGTCAATCAGAGATCGTTGTACACAAGTTGACATTTCTCCTGAGCAGTGACTGAGCATTTTGGTAGTTTAGAGTACGGTATAAAAACTGAATTCAGAAAACCTTGTGTTCATTAATAGAATGAGTTTGTGTTTCTTCAGTGATCTTGTGCATATTGCTTAGGAATAGAAAATGAGCAGACTGCACATTTTGCTCTCTTATTCTGTTTGAATTAGGAATCAGGACCAGGCTTTTCTTTAGGAAGTACATGTAGATGTACATTTACTCTTCCAAAGGAATAAGTTGAGCTTTGAATTGATTGGTCTGCTTCAGTGCCCAGTGGTAGACTGAAGACATTTATTCTAGCTGCAGTGGCGTGCAGTGCCAGTCCATACATATAGGCAGTACAAGTACGTGTATATGCATGCACCTGTATCACAGGCCCTTAACCAATTGAAGAACACACTTGTTCCGTAACTAGGATATATTGCTGAGGTAATTTGCTGTGATAGACACACTGCCCTCAAACTAGAAGTGAAGTGCAGATAAGGCATGCCCAAAATAATCTTGAGTGGGAATACCCTTGTTGCAAAAACCCCAACAAAACAAATAGGAAGGTCAGGGAACACATACATGTAGGAAGGGCACACATTGTACTGACAGTTATGTTTCCTTCGCAATTGCACAATCCAAAATATTTATATGAAAGAGATTTCTTGTATTTACACACTCAACCGCCCTAGAAATTAGTCCCATCAGGTTTTTATAGTTCAGTATTATGCATGAGCACGTCATAATGTGTTTGCAATAAAGGTACTCTGTAAACGCAAGTAGACTAATCCAAATGAAGTAGGCAGACTGTAATTACTGGCCAACACCTGCTCTGTATACTTGGTAAAGAAGGGACATAAATAAACATATTGTCCAATTACGAGATAATTAGCAATCAAGCTTTGGATAACAAGATATACCATTTTGAATAGTTCGTTGGTTTTTTACTGAGTTGTTGTATACATGTACCAATATGTGCAGTAAATGTACATGACAGAAAATTAATCAACAATGTGTCCCCACCAATGTCGTTACCTCTACATGTAACAGTCTTGCTGAAAAGTTGCTTGAAACACAGTTTTTCACAACTTTTTTCTATTTGAACTGCATTTCAAAGTGACTAAGAAGTTTTCTCTAATTTTCCTTTTTTGCATTACTCACTTACTGTACATGTCACAAGATAAACTTTCTTTGCTTTTGTAGAAATTTTCGGTCAAGGGGATCATGGTTACGATACGTTCAGGTAAGTGGAAATCAGATGGTTTCTGAAATCGATTTTTAGTTAAACTTTTTGTGAAGTACGAGTATCTGGGTATCTAAAAAATCATTACAGTCTTTTTCATATTAAAATATTAAATCCAATACTGTAAATTCAAAATATAATTTTTTAAGTGTATAAAAGAAAATATAATTTTTACATTCTAATTGAGGGACACACAGACATACAAAGATCTTAACTTTTTCCGGACGTGGTGAAGTGACCAGTATTTGATGCCATTGCACTTTAGCCCTGCATATATTAGTTTTAACTAATTTGACTCATTTGAATATTACAGGATCATTATTACGTGTAGATGCACTGTTTTTTGGCAGTTGTTTTTACCTTTTACTGGTAGGTTTGTTATACGACATGTATCATGACAAATTTAGAATGCCATTTCAACTTGCAATTTTTTTAAACATTGAGATTTAAACGTCTTTTGTCAAATTGTTTGCCATGAAAATGGTTGGTACAGAATTCCTGCTATTGTCTACAACCGCCGGACTTTTCTGGCCTTTTGTGAAGCTAGGAAGAGTTCATTCCGTGACTGGGGAAGCATCATGGATTTGGTTCTACGGAGGGGAATATTGAAAGATGATGAAGTGATATGGGGCGATATTCAAGTCATAGCGTCCATCCCTGAATACAGGTGAAAATTGGTACCAATACATATTGGACATCATGATATTTTACTACTGCTGAGTGAATTTCAATAATTCATTGTTCGAATATTCAACCTTCCATGAATCTGCATAAATCCCTGTTATCCAATTGGTGGATCATTGATCAAATGTCATTGAATTATTCATTTTATTCCATGGTACCCATTGAATAGAACTTCATTTTCAATTGACTGGTTCCCCTCCCCCATGTCATATTTCATTTCCAATTCTTAAGACAGAAAAATAATGTTGGGAATGGAACCAGTACAACATTTCATATGGTACCACCAGTGGGTGGCGTTTTGGATGTGAATCTGTTTTTGTAAAATGGCAGACGTTAAAATGAGGCGAGGACTGTTTATTCTTCTAAGAGAAGAGGAGATCACATGACAAGGATTTATGCAGATATTGTATGAAACAAAAAATGAATGTTTCACTTTGGTACAATGGTGAGAATTATTTCATTTGGTTACAGATGAAATGTTCCAATCCAGTCGGGGATTGCACTCATCAATATGCATTATTTGTGTAATATCTGATTCCCACCTAAATAGCTTGTGAAAAGGAACATACATGTACCTGTGTTACCACAAAAGAAAGTGAAATAGGAAAATAATTTTGTGACATGAAAAGTGTTGAGAAGTGTTTTGTGAAGAGAGACACATTGTCTTGAAGTGCTGATATAAATATTGTGCTGTAAAAATACCAGTTGGTTTAATTGTGAAGCAGAAGCAGAAGTCATTTTTGACCTTAGTATTTGGCCTATTGATTCGTTTGTATGTTTCTCTTAACACCTTGACATAAGGCACTACAGTTTTGTTACCATCAATGTTTCTCTAATTTCTTTTCAGTGAGTTTTTACCTCTGTTTGATTCCTAACACTAAATACGTAACTATTTCCTGTTTGATCAAATGTTCAAATATTCAAATATTCAACACAGCCCTACATTGTTCTGGGTCCATTGTCATATGTATCCATTCAGTTGAAATTAGTTTCAAAACCACTGAATTGCTGTGCAAAGTGAAACATGTGAATATAGGCGTACACATACCGTCCCCTGTGCTGGATGCATACTGTACATGTCGGCCCAACTTGAGAATGCAGAGTTAGTAAAAGAGCATTGTACCAACAGCACACTTCATGAGAGCATATAAATGGCAGAATGCTTTGATGTTACAGTGACTTCAGTTATTTGGAAATCAAATGACAGAGTAGGCTTACTCTGAGACACTGAGAAGAAGATCCTTTGGGCCCTGGAGTGGGTTACACTGACATGAACAATGCACCAATTCCACAACGTCAGGTAACGATGTGCACTGAAAGTTTATGCACATGTGAAGTGTGTTGTTTGGGGTTGTTGACTTGAATAGATTGCACCCCAATATATTTTTAAGAATGCACTTAAGATGTCTGGAAATTTCCTTCATGTAAGCAGCGTAATGTTTACATGAAATTATTTGGAATGTAAGAGTATTTTGTAAAGGCCACCGTATGATGCCCTGATAATTGATATTACACTGTTTTTCCTTTCCAGAGCAATGAACCCTGTGCCCATAGTCAACAAAAGGAATAACAGCATAGTTGTAGTCTTCGTTGCATTCCCTCAGGACCTCTCTGAAGCTGACCTTATCAAAGGCCAGGAGTACAAGCAGAAAGTCCTGGTAACCAAGTCTAGAGATAATGGGTTGACATGGAGCAAGCCACGTGATATCACAGAGACAACATTAGGAATGATGGATCCCCGTCCCCATATATATGCATCAGGTACGCCAGAATTGTTCAACCTTTGAAAAGTCTCAGTAGCAAAATAAATAGTGTTTTAAGCATACAGGAGAAGTGTTATGGATCTCTCCACTATTCATGTGTGATTTCTATTAGTACTTGTAATATGTTGTTTGGCATTACAGACATGTTCAGTGGGACATTGTGACAACTTTATGCTTTGATGCCTTGGTTCGTTTTGTCAATGAACTTGTGAATTATTGTATACATGTGAAGAAATGCAATGCAAATCATTCTGCTTGACAGTTTGTATGTACATTTGGATTTGAAGCCTTTTTGTACTCACAACATTTACTCAGCAACGAGGACTACTTCAGTTTCTAGGTCTAAAAATTCTGCCCAAAATATGCATCTGACTTCTGATGATTCTTTTAAGTACATGTACTGTATGTTGCTATTTAGCATGCACATGTAGCAGCAATGGAATGTTTTAGTACAAACCTCCAAAATGCATTTTTGAGTCTCAGCTAGCCTTGATTTCAATTTTTATATTCTTTTAAGGGGTATTTTGCCTTTTCGGGTTTTATGTTAATAAGGATTTCCATATTTATGACCAAAACTGAGATGTTGTATAACTCACTATTACATTGGTTATGCACCAAAACCTTTGCTATTTCGTTAAATATTACTTTCCCAAATTTTCTTTCCTTTGATGATTCATTGTTGTGTCAGCAACATGCCAATAAGCAATCAAGAAAACTATTCTCAGAAATATGTTTTCAGTGAGTAAATTCAAACAGAAAAACTTATGCACTGAACCATTTCTTCCCTGGATGACATCACAGCAACAGCGCCCTCAGTTGTCCAGGAAAGTATGGATAATTTTGAATGTTTAAAAGGGCACTTTTTAATACATTTAACATAATAGGGATAGATTTCATACATTGAAGGAGAGTATAAAGTTGCAGAAAAATTGTGTTTGAGAAGAATTCATTGCTTTTACGCTTTAAAGAAATTAGATTAGTCAAGGAAGTAAACACTACTGCCGTCTGTTTTTCAGAACTTTGTATTGTGTGGATACCTACTGCACGTCATTTTGTACAAAACCAGTTTTGAAGTGTTTGAAATGGGGTATAGGAATGATCCTGTTCTTGAGATTTGAAAGTGACACAGAAGGATCCGTTTCTATGTTGTTTGAAGGCCCAGGGCATGGAATTCAGTTGAGTTCAGGACGGCTGGTTATTCCTGGCAATGTGTTCTGGAAACCACCACATGAACCTGGTGAGACATTGCTTCATCATATTCTGTCTACTTTTGGCCTCTTTTGGTTCTTTTTGCAGTTATAATTCCTCCAAGTCACAAATGTAAGCTGTAATAAAATAGCTTACAGATAAGCTTAAGGAAGTAGAAAGTGTGGTTTAAAGAGAACATCTAAAGAAAACATGTTTTTCTCTGATTTTATCGGTTCAAATAAATATGGAAGCATTCAAATTGAATGCAGTGTCATTTGTCTTCAGAGCTCAACTATAACAAGCTCAAAAGGGCTTGTTTTTTCTGTTCTTGCCAAGATGCAAATTCTGAATGTAGATCGCGTCATTCAGAGAAAACAGAGAAAACGAGGGGAACCTAGCGGAAAAAACCCTTGTGCATGCCAAATGATGCATGTAGCCATTGTTAGGCAGGCACAAGGGTTTATCCACTACGAGCACAGGGCGAGGGTTCCCCTCGTTAGGTTCTGTTTTCTCTGAATGACGCAATCTACACTCAGAACGTGCATCTTGGCATGAACAGAAAAAAAGCCCTTTTAAGCTTTTTATAGTTGAGCTCTGAAGACAAATGACACTGCATTCCATTTGGATGCTTCCATATTTATTTGAACAGATAAAATCAGAGAAAATGTTTTTCCTTAGAGGTGCTCGAGGAGTTTGATTATTGTTGCTAATCTTTATCAAAATTACTCTTCAGTGATTTAAGTCATTATTGCAATAGTGTAAACATACAGCTAAAGCTTAATTTGGTTGTTTGGAAAAAAATTACGTATTTATTGAAAAATTTGTCACTTCATGCACAGGCTTCCTTTCAGAGCTCAAACACAAGATTCTGGAGTTCTTTGATTGTTTCTACAATGCCCAGTGTCGTTCCATGGTGATATACAGTGATGATGGAGGAGAAACATGGGAGCGGGGAGGCAGTGTACCAGCTGCTTTTGATCAGGATGGACAGCTAGTAAATGCCAATGAATGCCAGGTAGGGTTGGCGCATCTTTGTTAGCATTGTCCCTCATTTTTTTAAAAAAGTTTTTGAAACTAAAACCTTGTGAAACCCTTCGCTTCCATTTCTGAGAGATTATGCTGAATAACTTTTGTAATGTTGGTTACAACCACTGGTCCCCTCAAAACCGATTCACTTGTAACACACCATGTCTGGCCACTCCTGTAGCCAGCTACACATAGACTCTGTGATGTACACGGCTTGGCCACTGTACATGGCCAGCCTTTGCAGCAAATGATGCCGCATAATGGGGCCTCATAGTATGAGCAAAGCAAATGACAAACTTATCAGTGAAGTATTGTGAAAAATAATTGTAGATTGAATGATTCTCAAGAAGTATCATTTGCAGTGCTTGGATTTCTGTTAAAATATTGGCTAAATATATCTTTGCTTTTGCTCAAATCATGCTTTTTCTGCAAAATTACTGGCCCGAGTACCATAGAAAATGTTGATACCGGTAGAGTGGGAGTGGGGGTTAATTTGAGAAGAAAAGAGTACATCTTTTGGAAATTATTCTTTAGAATAACACCTTTTTGAATATTTAGTGATTTAGATTTTGTAATTACATGTACATATACTTTTCAGATTGGGGAAGGATGCAGTCTGAGACAAAAGGGTGAGGGTCCTGAAATTGCAAGATTTAAGGCTTTTTGTAATTTTGAAAGTACCTCTAGTAAAAATAACAAATCTTATTCATGTAGCACATATCACTTTGGAAGTCCCTATGCACTGATTATTATTATCCCTGCACATTGGGCTCACAACAACTAAACATTCCTGAAACCATCTCAGCTCCTTGGGGAGTATGCTAGTTGTGGGCAGTGAGTACATAATTATAGTTGATTATAATCGATTGTGTCAGAACAAAAGATCTGGGTTCTGGGATCAGCCGATTGCTCTCTGTTTTTTCCTTTTAATGCTAATAAGAGATTGCAAAACATGGTAAATCATCTTCTGTGGCTTGTAATTTGATTGGTCTTCTCTAACTGCCTGGTTGAAGACTTTTGGAGTTCTTATAGACGGTCACATGGAATGGAACGAAGTTGGGTCCATTTGTTAGTACTTAACAAGTCCCGCTGTCAATGGCTTGCATTGTATTATATGTACATTTTTCTTTGCTGGTCAGTCATCATTACTTGGGACTTTATAGGGACTGTACACGATGCATTCATGGAATTGTTAATTAGTTTTGTTTATTACAGTGACCTGGCACCTGTTCTGTGAATAGTTTAATATTTATCTGAGGTTGGCATTCCATCCATGCACCTGTCAAATTGGTAATATTGATAATTCATTTCAGTTAAGAAAATATCAACATACACTTTCCAAAGTGGCTGCATAGGAAAAAAGGCTTTCTCCAGAATTTTTTGAGATACTGATATTTTACGTGGTATACATGGCAAATGGTTCAAGGTCTGTTACATGTAATTTTGAATGGATTTTTTTTCGCTTAACCTGTTCCATTTTAAGTCCAAATTTTATCTAGATCAGTGCAAAAATTGTCCTAATGGGGAGTTGACCAGCTGTTCAAACAGTCTTTTTTTCAGGATAAGTACATCGTAACATTGTATTCAAATTATTTATGTTCTTGAGACAACAAGTTTCACAGCGTACATGTACATATTACGGCTGCTTTATGGGCAGGTGTTAGCTTTTGAGTCGGGGTTACTTTGTTTAGCTTTGTTGAAGTACACATTATAAATATTGTTGAGCATGACATATTTTGCAACCCTCATTTCATTCTTTTGTATGAATGTATTAAAGGCCAGTTGCTCCTAATTATGAAACCAATTTTCCTAAAAGCCATTGGCTATGACAAATAGATTGGAAATTCAAGTTGGCAACTACAGGTAGGTTCAAGATAATCGCAAGCAGGTTGATCAGTTAAAATATTGAAAGTGCCAAAGGCAGCCTTACTTTATTCAGCGGAAAAGAACAACATGACTGGCTGTCCATAGATACTGCATCTGAAATGGTGGGGTAATTAGGATCATGTTACCTGTGGCATAATGCCAAGAGAGATTATTAACTCCATTTTTTATTGCATATGTATGTATGAAGGAACATGTAATCCTTTCTCATGCTCATAGACACGAAAACTAGTTGTTCTGTCATGAAGTGAGTTTGCAGTTTGCGTATAAATAGGCCGATGTTCTCCTTGGTAGAGCCACCCTTGATCCTGTCTGTCTCTTCCTATTCAGTCCTTTCATTCCTCCTACTTTTTAGTTGTGCTGCATTTAAATATCTTCATAACCATGGAATATTAAGTCTGCAGACAGTGATGTAGCATTCACACCCAAGTATCAATTGCCTTTCTCCAGACTTAAGCCTCCTCGCCCCAGGGGAACATGAAACTCTAGTAGAAACAACATCAATGATAAATGCTAAGACGATTAGGGCACTTATGGCTAAGTCACGTAAACCTGCCGGCTGGCCATTCCAGGGCTAAAGGAGTATTTTTCTTGGCCTATTAACTGCACAGCACGCAAACCATCCTCCGGGGAAATCGACCAGTCAAATAATACTCAGCGTGTCAGAATTCCAGGTCTGCTAAATCCAGGATTCAGTGACAGATGGCGTGGGCGTTCATTGCATATTGATTTCTCTTCCCTGAGTCAAACCTTGGAGCGTCATTGTCTCCTGTATCATACCCAATTATTGGTTTAGATTATTGAGGCCTTGACAAGCATCGTTACATGTATGACTCCCTCCAGTTTGACGTAAATATGTTACAACCTACATGCATGTACATGTTTACATTTCATGTCCATTTTCATTTTGATTTTCAAGTTAGTTATTTTACTTTAGGAATTCAGGATGGTTCTGCTAATGGTTTACATGCATTTTGGGGGTGAATTATCCTCAGTAAAACTGACAGCTATTAAAGTAAAAGTTATGGGGATTGAATGTGATTGGAATGAAATGTTGCTTGAAATATTGCCCCAATTCATAGCAGTGATGATCGATATGCAATGCTGATACAGCAGTGTTAGATACCATTTCAGATGGTAGCTGCAAAGCAGTAATTTTGTGCTTGTTCTCAGCACAGTGTTTTGTTAAAGCCAATGGATCAAATTCATCTTTGTTTTTGGCTTAGGAAGGAGGCCTCCATCCCAAAGCAGATGTGTAGCCTTCATCAGCTCCAATGAATATTAGATAATGAGGATTTTTAATTTGAAAGTCTTGGATTGATTTTAATGGATTGCACTGGCAAGTCATTTGGTGTAATTTGAGTTGACCAGTCAATCGGATTTGCCTTTCAAATGAGGTTTGGGTCTTGGGTATTTTGCAAGGTTGTAAACCATGGCAAGTTGTAATCAGACATCATTTAATCATTGAGGGCTTGTTGTAACAGTAATTGTCCTGAGTTGTACTCATATATATGCTTATTGAAACCATTGACAATTAGGCTGAGCTTGCTGGCGTATGTGTCCTGGAAACTGTGGACTTTACCACTTGATCTGTTGGAATGCAGGATGAATGCAAACTCACTGAATCTGAACCTCCCGAACAACACAGTACAGTACCCATGTACATGTGTATGAAGTTGAAGCACATTCATGCACATATAGATCAGTCTCTTACCAGAAAGGCAGGCATATGGTATTAACTTGCTCGGATAATTCAAGAAGTGTCAGGTCATTGAATTGCATTGTTGTGCGAGACAAGGCTGCAAGGGAGGTCACTTTTCCAGCATACAGTTTGCAAAAGTACACAGCATTCATTTATGCAGATGTTATGCCATTCTGTGTTTGAAGGCAGTTGTAACTGTGTTGTCTGATCAAAGTGGGATCACTGGAATAAATGCAGCATATGTTTGAGATTGCAAACTGCGAATGCCGACAGGATCAGCGTGGAGATGTCCATACACATGCACCCCATGTAGGTAACCCTTCCTCATGTTTGTTCCTTCTAACTAACAGAGACAGCAACACAGACATGGCTTAATAATAAGGACTGTGTAGCCTATTCCTTAAATTAGCCACTGCATAAACAAACCCGACGATCATCCCCCAGAATCCTGGCATGAAAGCAATTGCCAGGAGAGGTCACATGAGCCATGAATAATGAGCTTATTGCACAGACCCAAAGATTGATTTTAGTTCTGCATGGGTTCCCTCACAAGTGCAGTGTGATTTTTCACACAGATGTTAAAGAACTAAGACTGCTTTTTGTTGGGTTGTGTTGGTTGCAATTGAAATACAAGGAACACACCTACAATGTATAGCTTGGCTCCATCTTCAACAGTCCCGTGCTTTGTTTAGATACTGCACTTAAAATGCTGTTGGAAGGTCTCAGGTTAGAATCCAAGTGGCATCAACATTTATACATCTTGATTTCTTGTTCAAGTATTGAACGATACTGAATACATGTAAATGTAAGTCCCATCAACTTGTTCCCTTAGAAAAACACTCTAAATAATATGTACAAGGAATTTATAAACAGTGCTTAACATTACAAGTATTGAAATTGGATTATTTAGGTACAACATAAATCAGCGTTATTAACAACTTATAAACTCTTATTGCTGAACATTACAAATTCTATTGAAGAGAATGTCAGAAACCTATGTATTTGTGCAGACAACCATGGGTAAGACATACAGGTGTAAAAGAAACCATGACCTCAATACAGCGTCGGCCGGGGCACAAAGGTTAGCATTGCATACCTCAGGCTTGTGTGGATATTCCTTTGCTTGTTATGTAGTGTAGTAATCTTGATGAAAATGCTGATTTTTCTTGCACTGTGAACACCAAATTTTTGTTGATGGTTTAAAACTTATGGGCTACACCCTAATCCGCAAGTGGCTCCAAACCCGCTTTTCAGGGGGGGGGAGCATCTTGTGGACTTGGGCCAATGCACATGACGTTTCACTATCTGCATTGTATAAGGAATGGCATGCCAGTACCCACTCACACACAAACTTGGAAAATGATGCTTTAAATTGTTTAAAAAGTACCAGCACCTTATTTCACAATTAGTTTCAAGAGATACAAATTCAGGCACATTGATACAATCATAAAATTAATGTTATGCAGAGTGTCTAGTGTCTGTGCATGGTACAGTATGGTGTATTGGTACATTTGTCATAAATTTAAGCAGTGAGGTTTCCACATGTGCATGCATGCATTTCCCTTCAAATGTCTTATGGGTCATGCCAGCATATCTGTAGTTTGGTATCTATCATACATGTAGATGATATTGCATAGCTATTGAAGCTTTAAGTGTGTACATGTATAAGCATCAAAGACTATCTATTTCTGCTTTTAATCATTGTCTGTCACACTAGGCCAAGTAATTGTCACCTAGATTAGGGGGGGTTGTCAAGGAAAGTTACTATAAAACTACACTTTCCCATAGTTACTTAGAATTCAACACTGACATGGTTTCTATGAATGGTTCCCTGTACACTGTGTGCCAAGAGGTGGCTACACAGTGTCATGCTGCATTATGAGCTAGTGGTCAAACATACATGCTCCATGCAGTTCAGCAAATTTAATGTGTTTTTTCCAAGCAGCAATAGGGATGAATTTATAATACAGTTTACTGCCAAGAGGTTGCTATGGAGAGGCCATTTTCAAGTTGACAGTTGACAAAAGCATGAACGCGTTGCCACAATTTGCTTATAAAATAATATAAGAAAACATCAGTTGACAACGTGGGGAAATTTTTGATAAATTGGAACATACTGGTACCGTGTAACAGTATAAAGAAAGGATTGATTAACACTGCTATTTCAAATACACTTATGAATCTTTCCTGACAGAAAACATCTCAATAAATCCAGTTCCCTCTGCACAGCTGTTGACCAGAATTTGTAGCTGCCCAACCCCCACCCCCAAAGAGTTATGCCCTCTTCCGTTAATGTCCATGCATGAATGTGGGTTGAACAAAGAAATTAAGGGGACTAGTATTTAGACCATTATCCCCTATGGAAACCACACTGGTGTTCTACCAACTGTTTATTTTTTTACAAACCTTGTGAAACAGATGGGAGTATAAAATAATTTCAAAATTTTGTGTAGGCTGTCAGCATATTGATTGATCTCACATATGGTTAGCATGCAGAAAGTTGCTTCAGGATTAACAGTTGACACCAAGACACAGATATTTTTTCAAATGTTTGCCATCCTTCATTTTCAGAAGTCCCCCAAACAGCTAGTCTGTCTCACCCAGTTTTGTCTGTGTACTTTCATCAGATACCCTAGTGTCTGTAGACATGTCTCCTGGTAAAATTCCAGCACATTTCAAAGCTAGCTGGTGTTGTCATTACAGGATGCAGTTATTCAAGTCAATATTACTCTATTGATTGCAGTATTTACAAGGACACAGTGACAGGGAATATATACACAAACCCTCTCAAATTAAAATAGTACACCATAAAAACACAACAGATATCAAAAACAATCTCAGATGAATAAGGAGAAATAAACATAGAAATACCTAGCCTGACAATTCTTGACTAATTAAATTGTTATTCCAAGGGGAAATATTTAATTGTTTGTAGTTGTTTTCTGCTGGTTGTTGAGTGAACTGTCACTATTTTCAAACACACCAAATGCATTTTTCATGCAAGGGGTTGTGTTTTGGTGGTTAGGGTTTAGAATGTGTATTTACTGGTTCATACCTTTTTGAATTCAGTAATGTACTTTAATTCCAGGGAATTTAGTATTGATGATGCGTGAAGACTACTTCGACATCTATGAAGATTAATTGTACATGTACATGTGTTAAGAAAACCAAGCAAAGTCATGGGATTTCAACGTATGGATGTCAGAAAATGAATTGAAACCTTGATAATCCAGCTCAATTGTTAATAATATTCTTCCTTTTGTTAAAGGGTCCCCAGATGAATTTTCCCAGACACACTTTTTGTGCAGCTTTGTACTCTTCTAATGTGTATGAAAACTACTTGACATACACCTGTACATGTATCCTTTGTGGAATACAAATATTGGAGAAGTGGACTGTTTGAAATATTTAAAATTATTTGTTTTCTGAACAATTCTAGAGGGCACTGTTGCTGTATTATCATTCATGGAAGACATTATTCGGTTTCTGTGTCTTTCTGTTAATATTGTGAACCAAACATTTTCTTATGAAAAATCTTGATGAAAAAAATTGCTCATTGGCTTATTGCAAGGTACTCAGAGTCACATAATGCATAACTAAAGTAATGGAAGTTTAGGAGAGCAGACTGTGAAACATTCCTGCATTTTGCTTTTTTTGGCACAAATCGGTGAAAGATGGAGGTTTCCTCACTTGGATAACATCACAGTTTTGCTCATGATTTTGTCACTTCTCACTAGCAGAAAAACCATAAAGGAATCAAATAGCTTTATAAATAGCAAAACAAAAGTTGAAAATAGGTTAACTGAAGCATAAAGGTGAATTTTCAAAAGATTTGTAGATATTTGTATTGCATGCATGGGCATTTATTAAGACATAAAGAAATCATAAAGGAAGGTATTCATAGACAAAGATATTATGGACATGTGCATACATGTGCATGACCACTTACTCAATTTTACTGTGTGTTTACCCCGTCATGGGAAATGGTCAATGCCCCAAAAAAGTCTTTCTTCTCTGGTCAGAGCGAGCGTCAATTTCAAGCATGCACGTCAATTTTTTTTTTCTCTGCGAGAACTGCATCAGCTCCCTCTATTGTCACACTCAACCTATGCCTCAACATATTTGCTAGCAGCTCAATCTTTTACTCAGGGTGATAGAGCCCGACAAGATTGATGTTGAACAATGATAGCAGACTATGGATACAAAGTTGTTTGTTGTCAGCTCATAATCATGATAAAGTTAGTCTAGTGCCATGACTTGACAATGTGTATCTGCATTGTCTCTACAATCCAACCCTGGAGGAGGGGGAGAAGCAGTGTTGCTACAACAATTCTGGACATCAGTCTGACCAGAGACAAACAATTTTTTGGCTTAAACTGATTTTTTTTTATATCAAGAGGCTTAATTTAATTGTCACAATTTGATGCTGACTTGATCAGATGAGGTTAGAAAATCACAAGCATAATAATTTTGGTATACGATCTACATGTAGTTCAGAGACAAAAATGAAATAAAAGTCATTTCTAGGAAATGAATTGAAATAGCATTAGGACTGTATTCAGGAAGGGAATAAAACAGAACTTTACAATAGGGATTGATCATTGATGTTAAGGAAACAGTTTGTCTCTTTGAAGAATTGACTATGCACCCGTATGAAACTTATGATGGTATGGACAATCTTTACACCATTGTTTCAGTCATTTTTGATGCATGTCCAAAAAATTCTGAGAAAAATTGGCAAGTTTGTGAGGGACTTGAACCAACAACTTCTGTCTTATAGTGGTGCTGATATTGGAACTATCAAGCCACTTGGTTTGATGAAGTTGGTGTGACTCATTTCAATTTGATTCTCATATAGTGGTGGTTACTGCAGTCAGTGGCTACATACCGAGGATATTCTGCATCAGGAAGATGTTAATCATTGCCTTGGAGGACCCTTCCTAGCTTTTTGTTGAATGGTGTAAGTGGGCCTTCTGTATGAGATTTGAATCAGCCAGGGCCAGCCTCGCATTCTTCAATCTACTCTGCCACAAAATACCATCGGAAGTTACATCACTATTTCAGCAATATCAGTGTTGTTTTCTAATAAACTTCAGGTGGTTGAGTTTGATGATGGCAGGGTTTACATCAACAGCAGAACCCTGGGTGTTCAGTCACCACGGCAACAAGCTTTCAGCCAAGATGGCTGCTTGACCTTTAACCCTGGAGAGCTGGCCACTCAGCTTCCTGAACCTGGACACACCCTGACCAAATGGATTCCTTCAGTTCGTAACTTTGGTGGATGCCAGGTAAGATTGACAACATGAATCACCCTAAATAAGTGTAGACTGAAGAGCAACACTGTACCATCCATTCTAATTGTGATAAAAATGTCATAGACTCAATGCTCATTCCTCATGAGTACCTCCTCACTGAGTCACTGGTGACTACGAAAGAGGCAGGGCCAGTAAGACTTCTTTGAATATATCGTCACTTACACAATCCATTAGGCACAAAAAAGTGTCCAGCATGCATTCTCATTGTGATAAAAATGTCATAGACTGAATGCTCATTCCTCACGAGTTACTGGTGACTAAGAAAGGTAGGGTCAGTAAGAGTGCTTTGAATACATGGCCCATAAGGTACAAAAAAGTGTGCCACGTGTCAGCTTCGATGAAAGTTTACTAGAGCTGAATTAACACTTGGATCCCATGAACAACTTGGTCTGATGTGGTTCTTGGGGTTCTGAAGGTAACTACATTTTAAATGTGATAACAGTTTTCAAATGTGATGAGTTTATTTTTATCTGTACATCCCTCAACAAATGTTCTAAGATTGCCACAGTATTATTCAGTGGGTAACATATCTGTAAAAGTTCCCTTTTTTACCCCTTTGAAGGCCAGCATTTTTGGTTTTCGTGCTCCCCGTAATGTGCCACCAGAGGCGTACGACACTGGCACATGGATCCTGTTCTCTAACCCCGCTAGCACGGAGACGCGTGTCAATATGTCAGTGCGCCTCAGTCGCAACGGGTGCCGGACATGGAGTACCCCTTGGCAGCTGAACTCTGGGGCCAGTGCTTACTCAGACCTGGTTGGCTATGAGACGCGCAGCAATGATGGGACACCAGTAATGAACTTTGCTTGTCTGTACGAATGTGGAAGTTTACACCCTTACGAGAGGATTGTGTTCCAGACCTTCTCTCTGGCAAAGATAATGGAGGGCATCGGCATGGCAACCAAAGCTGATCCCAACCATCATATCCCAGAAAGTAGAGCAGATACGCAAGATTAACTCATATTTCAAAAATTGTAATTTGCTTTTTTCTGTGTAGCACATTGTATTTTTAAAAATGACAGTCATCCTCAACAGTGTCCATGTCTTTGGATGTTTTTCAGAAAATGTCATTGGTTTCTATTAGCTGCATAAGAATGCAGTGTTTTGATCCAAGAGTTTATTACTGTAGCACGTTTACAAGCTTTTATCAAGTGAACAAATGTTTTAAGAGTTTATCCAAAACTGTAACATTCCAGATTTGTTCTTACTTTGCCTTTACAGTACTGCTTTTATTCAGTTAGAGTACTATATTTAGGATATTTATATTTCTTTGCTGTTTCTGAAATATTTGCAGCTCTCATTTGAATCATTGAAAAGGATTTGACTTTTTTCAGTCCTTCACTGTCTGATGTTTGTGCTTTTGTAAAATGTAAGTTTTAGTGGATAGGAAATGTCCTTTTTTTCAAGGTTTTCCATATTTGAAGAGTTTGACTTGCTTTAGTTTGCTGATGTGACTTACCGTGTATAATTAGATAAATTCTTGAGCTGAGGCCTGGTCTGTGAGACACAGATACAATTTGTGCAACCTCATTCTCATTTTGTGAAGCAGGTTACAAACTTCTGCATATAACATTCATAACAATCCTATACACTTCATAATGTACTCAGCATCACAGAGTATACCCAGTACCTGCACATCAATGTACAAAATGTTTGTAGCATGGAAAAACACATACTTCTTGAGGGCAACATTACACCTTTGTGCCACACCGCTGTCTAAAACAGTTCTATTTTGTTCTATTTTGAAATGTAAAGTTTAACAATAATATGATTGTAGACCCTTTATATAATGTTCGCAGAGGTGATAACCGTGTTCAGGACTTCCTGAGGAAGTGCCCTGTAAGCATAATGTCCATCTCTAAGCTTGACCCGAAGTTTATAGCTTTGTATAGCTTAAAGATGAAGCGAACAGCCAAAAACAATGTTTTGGAGTGAAGTTTGGCTGTGCTGTGGACAGCCTCAAGAAGCAGAATATATTTGTCTCCACTTTAGTAGTAAAGGATTGTAGATTTCGTCATCACTGAATCACACTGGAAGTTCTAGACATTTATGTATTAACACCACTCCAAAGCAGTCCAATACTGTTCATCTCTGACATCTGTTTACCCTGGTGCTTCATTGAATCAAAATGGATACAATTAAACATTTTTGTTCCTGGCCCTTTCACAGGTTCACAAAAAGGGGCTTGCCGTGAGGGTCTTGCACCTCTGAAGCCCAGGTACAATTCCCGACTCAGTCCACATGTAGATTGGGTTTTCAGTCCCTACATGTACCTGACTCCATGGCTTTTACCCAGAATATTCCTCTTGGGTTTTCCTCCCACCTCTAAAAAACCTGTAACCCTTTCTACAGGTTTCTTCAGGCTTGCAAGCTACAGTGCCTCAGGGGCTTTTGGGAGAATCTTTGGTTTCATTACCAGAAATAATACTAAAAGAGTGGGTTTTTCTGTTCTGAATCTTTCATGTGTGCACAAAGAAGTCTGGGAATTTAATTATCAAAATGTGACAAACAATGTTGCCATTTTTACCAGAGGTAAATGTTCAGCTGTGATTGAGTCCATTCTTAAAATAAGGAAGATTGTAAAAAAAAAAGTGAATCCAGAAAGTCGTAGTGGGTTGTCTGATTACACCCACTCCCCACTTGCAAGCATGCATTTTCTTGCTGAGCTTTGACCACAGTGTAATACTTGAGAAATCATGCAAATAGTTTGAAAAGATATTAACCATGAACCTGGATGATAGTTTTGTAGCCCTTGCTGTAATTCAAGTCACTGGCTTCAACCATGCTAGTGTTGATTTTATCATTGTAATCAAGTTTATTACAAATCATCACCCAAGGAAGTTGCAAGCTACTTAAATGACCACAAGGCATTCCTTTGTTGTTCATTGCCTGTTACTTCTGGCTGCTCTTGAGAATTGACATGTTCTACTTGTTGCAGAATGGAATGGTGTAAAATCAAGGATGTGGTCCATCTGTCACTGCTGTCTTCATGGACGTGCATAGTCACTATTGCTTTTAGTGCAAGACATTAAGATGTTCCATAACCAAAACAACAAACTTGTACCCTGTTTAGTGCATAGTGCACAGTACAGTTCTTGAGCATTTCTTGATGTGGAAAAGATTTCTTGTGTTTCGTTTTGCATCATAATATCACATCTGTTTACCCAATTTTGTTGTTTTTTTTTTGGTTTCTTTTGCTATATGTAGGGAAATTATCATTAATGTAACTAGTTTTTGAACGAGAGGCTGCATTAGGTTGGCAATCATAGACGTGAGGATTTGGTGATCCAGCTCCCTATATTTCCATTAATTTGGACCAAACATTGTACCAGTGCTTTTAAAGCACAGAAAAATGTGCTTTACTCATGGCTGTATAATGATGAAATATGCAAAATACTACACATCTCTAAAAATACAGCCATATTTAGTCTACAGTAGATAAGATTCACAATTGGTAGATGTTTAAGGAAGTATAAAACACAGGTAATAAAGGAGAATTTGTAATAATTTTGTTAATGGAATTTTCTGGTCTTTGTATGTGAACAACCATGTTGATACAAATGTCATGTAGATATAACTTTTAAAATGGGAATCGTGATTTTAAATCATTTACATGTATTTGACATTTATGTTTATCCTGGCAAACAGTGTTGCCCCTGATGTTGAGAGTAAACAGTGTAACTTAGAAATCAAGGTTTCTAGATGCTTCATATTCATAGAGCTGTCTGTGGAAAAACCTGCAGAAACTAGTGTCTTCCCCCCCCCAAAAAAAAATACATATACTGCAGGTGCAGGGCATACTGTCCATTTATAACTTGGTTTTTAAAGAGGACATTATTAGCATGATGATGCTTTCAATTTCATCTTATTTGATATTGGCAATCCAGGGATATGGCCCCAATAAACACAAGCAATCAAAATTGAGTTTGTTCCACTTTGTAGTCCAATCACTAGACCTTGTTGAAATAACAAAATGCAGATCCCACCTTTACAGTAGGATCTTAAAGGGGTGCACTGAATCGTGTCTGGGGCAGATCTAAGACATTTGTGGTGAAGGGGGGGATTCAGGAAATGTTTGTTAATACCAGAGGTGGGGGTGACTACATTATCGCCATTGGTGAGCCAATTAATCTCTTTGTATTGTCCGTAGCCATACATGTACAATGTTAACATGGACTGTATTTGCTTGCACTGTTTAAAAAAATAATACATACATTTTTTTAAATCCTGAAATAAAGAATAAATTTGGTCAAGTTGTGCTATGTGACTATAAACATGTTGGCTGTAAAGTAGGACTAAAATGCTCTGAGTGTACCTTTGACCAATACCTCAGCCAATTGCCTCCAAAACATATCATCACACTGTTCTCTAGACCATGTTCCATACATTTCACTTAAATAAATGTTCATTTACCATTTTCGCCAAAACAAACTTCCATTAAGCCATGTTTGAATGTTGTCATAATTGTCTAACGTGAAGTGTCGCTTACAGGTTTTGACTTGCCATTTTCCAAACAATAGTGCTTGGTAATGCATGACTAAAGAAATGCTATCAAGGTATCATTTGAAACTAATTGGCCCCATTTTTATGACAAACACTACAGTCATACAGCACGCAAGTTGGTCAAATTGACCTAGCGCACTTGTAGAATTAAATGTTGGACATGTTCATGTAGCAGTTGTATAGTTAGTGGTAGCACCATGCTAATTGTATTATGCTAGCAGGATGTACATTTGTATAGTTCGGACATAAACTGGTTATTGCAACATCCTGAAGAGTGTGCTGTGTTTGGCTTCAGGAAAATGTCAAACCTTGGACATGTGTGTCCAAGGACATGTAGTGCTGTTGTTTAACTTTGCCAATTGCCACTGCAGTTGATATTGTAGGGTTTTGAGTGCAATGAATCCTGAGCAATAATTAACAAAATGTTTTTGCATTTGTAACTCACTACAGATATTTTTATTTTGGCCACCGAAGTTGGCATGGACCCTTTAACTGTGTTGCTAAGCAACTAATCTACTGAAACATTCAACAGTCCTTTAAATGTTGTGTATATTAAGTGCACCATTACTACTTAGATCGCCCGCCGAACTTAATTGCTACCTTAAATATGTAGTTTAGACATCATGGTTTATTAATTTCCATGGTGGATTGTTGAGATTCAAATACATTATGAAGCATTAAAATCACTATTGCCTTTGGAATGATACTTTACAGTGACGACAGTTTTGATGCTGGTAACACAGGTAGAAAGAGTCCTGTATTTTCCATTGGTTTTAATTCATCTTGTGTTCATGTCAATCTGCTCTGTTGCAGTAACATTTACTGGTATGTCTCAGTTGTTAGATTAGATGTTTTACTTTGTTACTACATAAATAAAGGAATAATTTAAATGAAATTTTTTGACAGACTGTGGACAAATATTTTATTTGTAAAATTATAGGGGACTTTTTCATTCCGAGTTTTTAAGCATTTCCTAGCTTTCAGAATTAATGGTTATTAGCAAATGTAAGTTTTCATTAAGAAATGTAAGTTTTCATTCATTTTCTATTATGTATCACCGAATCTTTTCAAATAGGTTTAATTTGGGAGCCTGTCCGATAGACTGGTTGCCATGGCATGGGTGTCAATCGCCTTTCAAAGGTGGGGGAACATAACCTTGATTTGAACTCATGTGAAAGCGAAGCTGGAAGTCCTAACAGCATGGGGTTCAGACCCGCTTAAGGGCCCGCTCAAGGGCCGCAAGAAATTTTGGATGTTAGATGTTTTGTGGTATGATATGAGGCAATTTCTTACCACTCTTTTAGCAAATGCTTTTGCACAATTTTTTCATTCTTTAAATAATTTTCAATAATTTTGTGAATGAAAATAATGTAGGCCCACTCCACTTTCATTTTTATTTAGGGTGCAGAAGAAAGTGGAGGGAACGAATGGCATGATATCCCCCACTTGAAAAAGTTGGGGGATATGCCCCCCCCCATTGACACCTATGTGTCATGGTTATAAGCAGTGCTGTCACCACTCAGTGCTATCCTCATAACAAAATGGTACATGGGACACCTTGCAAGGTGGTTGCTCGACGAGGCTGTATTTGATGCATCGTAATGGGACTTACGGAACCAGTATGGCTTCCTTTTTGTCATCATCATTGGAGTAGCCTGATGGTGGCTAGTGGACATGACTTGTGTTGCAATTTTGCCTTGCTTCATGCTTGTTTAACATTTATATTTGCAATACTTTTCCAGACAAATTAGGGTACTACAGCTGTGCTACAGGGAGATATTGTCCATTTGGAAGTTTTCTAAATAGCGAATCCAGAATTTGCTCAGTGGAAATATTTGTGACAAAAAGTGTTCATTGACCCACTGTCACGAACTGAAACTATGAAGTGCCAAATTGAACAAATTAGACGGCAACAAAATGTCCAAAAATCTGACAGATTGTAGTGCACTGAAAAGCTATAACACTGTGACTTCTGTTTCGGATGACTTCAAACTTTTGCTGATACATAATATGCAAATGCAAAAAAAGTTAAAAAGCATGAAAATACTCTCAAAAGAGAACAAAAAATAATGAAAAACAAGTCAGATGGGAGACAACTCCGCATTTACCAGAATTGGACTAAAAGAATTGCACTGCATGGGTCCTTGAAACATTTCACCAATTTTACATTTGTGTGATCACGTCCATAGTTTGAAAAGAATCCTTCTCCAGAGTAACTAGTGATGACTGCGATCACAGCATGTCATTACTTAATAGGAGGTTATTGGGAGATTTGCTGCCTACATTCCCATGGGAATGGTGAGTGAGCTACAGCCTGAAAGTGAGATGGAGATGAATTATTGAGACTCTGGTGGATTAGACAGCAGTGCTGTAAATTGAATGGATTTCAAGCATGAGTGGATAATGTCGAAAGGGTTTTTTTTTTCGGGGGCAGGAAGAGGGTTGCTTCCGACTGTGCAGATGCAGGGAGAATAAATCACATCTTCCTGTGGCTCGTGCGAGGTCCAGATACGACACTTCACTGCCCTGAGTAGAGTGTATGCGCAAAGCACTAACAGTGCCCGTTTGCATGTGCTCCAAAACTACGTCCATTTTTTTCTCGTCGGCACTGCTATCTCTCACTTTAAAATGTTCCAAAGGCATCGTTTTGAATCTACATGGGTGCGGGCCAGATTAAGTAAATAGAAGATATTTTTACCATCGAAAAATGGCTTCATGGATTTTGGGGCTGGAATTCTTCAACTGTGCGTAAATTCCCTATCCGCCTCTTTGAAGAGCACTCCCAATCGGCGAAAGACAGACAGGTGGTTACAAGCGGAGTCTTGCATGCCTGTGTTTTATACGGTCTGTGCAGCCTCGAGCTGAAAAACATTCAACCAGCCTGCCTTTTCTTTGCCGGTGATAGAGCCACGGACATATATAAAAAAAAATTGGACTTGTAACGCCTTTGTATGAAAAAGAGGCAAACCAGCGGCCACTTTACCGAGCCGAATACAAATGCGTGGGTTGGCTACCTTCTATTGACGTCTAGAAGAACAAAGGCGGGCATTGCCAGGACAGCTTTGTATTCGGCTCGGTGAAATGGCCGCGAATGGATTCAATGACTCCTTAAGCTGATTAAGGGCACTGCGAGCACTTCAACGCGCGGCGGACCTGGTTTCTTTGCTTTGAGAGTTTACGCCACCACGTGTAATAGGCGCTACCTCAAAAATGCGTGCGAAATAATACCGCCGTCCTGTCCTGTCCCGTCCCATCCTGTACATAGTCTCCAGACGTCTTACAGACGTCATCCGTACGTAGGGACCGGTAGCAAGTAATGAATCTGGCATAATCCTTCCGAGTTTATGTAAATAAGGAAACGATGCCCTTCTTCTTCTTTACAGAAAAAATTCATCATAAATTATTTATCTAAAATTTAACGCAATAAGCTCTGATTTGAAGAAAAATTGCTGCAAAATAATCGATGAAAATTATCACCTTACATTACCGTGATCGACAGAATGTTTTCTTCGCTTCTCACTGCAACGTAATTAGTCTGACAAAAATTTAAATATTTGGCATCCAAATCGATTAGGCTAATAGCGTACGTTAAACTGCAGCTAGTTTTCGGTTATTAATAGGGACGAGGACCAGAAATAATGCAGGCGATTCACAGTATTGCGCCTCCAAGAGTTTGCAACGCGTTGACCAATCATAGTGCTCGAAATCTGTCGACCCAATGCGCGTTTGGAAAGGATTGCACCACTGCACTCACAGACATCAAAACGCATAGACCACCAGTCTTGTTCATATAACCGTGATTTACAAAAACGTGATGAATCGTTATCACAGGAAGTAATGATTGTTGAGGTGATAGCGCCTTGTTCATGTATATGCGAGTACAGTACGCGTGATGGTTCGCGGTGTCATGGAACAACTGGAAGTTCTTGGAACCAAGACAAAAGAGAAAACTTGTGCAATATACGCCGAGATACCACACACTGTTCTCGCACGAGCTGAACTGTGGGCTAGTATGGTTTCCAAATCTCAGATTTCATCTCCCGGTAGTCGTCGCTCTCGCTGCTGATTTTATCTCTCTTGTTTAATACCCAGAGACAATTCTTGCCTGTTAGCAAAGTTGTATGTGCTGAAGCGCATAAAGTCAGTTTTTACACTGTACTGTAATAATTTGAAAGGTACCTCAGTGAATACGATCAAACAAATGCAAAGCAGTCGGCCACGGCACAAGGCAAATGTGGAGGTCTGCTGTTTTGTTCTTGATACAAAGGTTTGTGTAGTCATATTAACTAAGATGGATGAAGTAATTATGAGACACTCAACAAAAAGAATGAACAAGTTGATAAGTAGGAAATAATGAAGCAGGTATTTAGCGATGTCATGTATTTAAGCTTAACCTCTACAACTACCAGGGGAAAGCAACCGACATGAGGAACTAGATATTCATAGTTGATTAAAGTTGATATACAAAACAAAACAAGCAAACAAGTGTACACACAAGATACAAACAAGACAAGGGAAATGTATGATCGGAATACGGCCTACCGAGTTTTAAATCAGGTTAAGAGAGCTGATTATAGTCAATCTTATTCAAATAAGACATTATCTTTATAATAAAAGAAAATTAGGATTACTGCTAATAGGTCATTAAGGAGACATTCCCATAAGAACGTGCACAAATTTTCCAACTTTACTGTCCCATAATTCAATATTCCCTGGTATGATCTGTACCAAACTTTGTCTGTATTCAATTTAGACCCTAATCTATCATCTCTCAAAATTTGGACGATAAAATTCGGCCTCCTTCCGGTAGCTTGAAAATAGGAAGACACTGAAATGTTTCCCTAAAAGCCAATGTCTCCCTAATGCTGAAAAATTTACCACAAAATGTCACCCAAATGACCTATTTGTAAATATAACAGCATTTATAAAGCACATCATTCAAAGGCGCCGATATATTATCATTTTCTCTGGACACTGAACATTCCTTATGCCATCTTATCTCCCTGGCCCGATGCTGCCATCAGGAGCAAACGGCTAAACCTAATAACCATATCTGCCCTCACAGGTCCCCATTTTCTCCTGGATAAAGAAAGGCGCGAAAGGTAAGGTGACTTGCCAAAGATCATAAAATACTGGCATTAGCTGGATTCAAACCCCCTACCCTTTGATCGGAAGCTACAAACCCCGCATGGGCCACATGCCCCTCGAACGGTAAAATAATAAGCTTTTAACTTCTCACATGTTTAATACCTTACTCTAAAAGTGAAACAAGTGGAAACAATTGTGAATGTGGACCTAGAACACACACTCTATCGGTCAGAAGAAAGCTTTCATATTTTTTACTAAGCTTGAACACCGATTTAACAGATTTTTAATTATTCCGATTTTGCTTCATCAGCGTACCGGTTGTGGTTTTAAAATGCCCTGGCCCATCATGTTGCAATCTGAAACTATGCCCCCCTCCCCGGCTGCTTCAAGGCTTGGTTCGTCGTATATTGTGGTGTATAGTCACGACAAGCAACGAACACAGCGTTCAAAAAAAATCGAAATCACGACACACGGCACGCAACACCATTATATTCTAGCGCAGAAACGACGAGCGTGATCTATCCAAACACAACGAGAGTTGCTCAGAATGTGCTTCTGTAACCCAAAAAATCAACACACCTACTATCATCCCCACCCCACCCCACAAATAGATCTGGGGGCCCACTTGACATAAGATATGAACTTTACTGACCAAGAAAAAACAACTGGTTTTTCTACAGAGGTCGAGAGATACCCGTATAAAAGACTGGAAATACAGACTTGTACACAAAGTTTACAAAATGATCTACTCAGGCGACAATGAATCCGAAACGTTGAATGTTCTATTGCAGCCGGATTCGCCTCGTAAAATTGAACGTTCAGTCATCACCACATGAAGTTGTTCATTTCACTGCCATGATAAATATCCATTGTTGGTGTAATGAAAGACTTTTCATTCTAATACCTATGCGCGAACGCCTAAGTCTTCAAGTGTGCGCTTTCAATTTATGATACCGCGTGTAGTAGAAGTGGACATCATGATGATGACGTGTGTCGAAATCTATTGAGAACTGCCAATGCCAGAGTACACACTGCTACACCCATAGGATACTCTCATTTCATTGGTGTAAAGTTTGTAGAAACGAGTATACCATCACTGACGTCACTCATGCCGCCTCATAGGGCCAGGGCAAGCTCAAGCGACGACTATAGTTAACTAAAGTTGACCAACACCGCCCGAACGACGGATGGTTTGGACCATGGCCAACTGGGGCCATCCCCCGGACATGGTCGCTTTGCTGGGTTCTTAATAACCTCCACAACACTTCAGTTTACAACATTGGGTATGTCACCGCCAGACAGTGCAAACCCTTTTGTTACCTTCCTTACACCTATTTGCTAACGTTAAGTGAAGAGAATTCATGTGTAACAACACAGGAACAAACCATTAACGATAATTATTAGAAGGTTTTCTATGTTCATTCCTTATTCCATGCCGTCAGTGTGAAGATTTAATTCATACTAAGTAATAATCTCACACAAGAATACATTAAAACAGAATTGTTAAGACATCTTCTATGTCTACTCCTTCCTTATCCCATAACTTTAGTGTGAAGAATAATTCCTTCATATGTCAGTCCCATTCGGAATATCTGATTAAATATAATATTTCAAAGTCATTCAAAAACGGGGTGAAAAACCAGAGATAAAAAGTCTTGCAAGAAAAGTACTCTGGAAAAACCCCACTAAACGAACCCACCTTACATATGTATACTTGTGGGGTATTTCCTTTGTTCTCGTGTACAAAACTCCCACACAACACGGAACAAATTTCAAGTCACTTCCATTTCAACCAAATTCAGTGTCCTAGGTGGAAATTTCGACCGTATGTCCCTTATATAAAACACTTCAATTTGCGACGGATGAATGGCACTTGAAAATTCCTCCTTTTTGAGTAAATTTGAAATATCTATTTCGTGAAATTCTTGTGGGGTACCACTTTAGTAACCCACAAGGATCAAAACTGGCCTTGTGGGTACCTTCCATTGTTCCGGTACCTCACAATGCACCATGTACAAGCGCACGTGGACAAATTGTACAATGTGCACAATTGCAAAGTCTGCTATGGTACAAGGCACACATTTGGCACAACTTGTGCGTGTAATGTATGTGCTGCTGAAAACTGCACCAAGTAGTCTTAGCATAGGTTACGATCTATGATGTCATTGCAGGAGTGCCCGGAGGATTGAAAAGAAACGAACTAATACAGTTAGCATTATAAATGCCATGTGGGGACACCATACAAAACATTAATACCTGGGATCTCTAAATAAAGATTTAGGACACTGTTTTTACGAACTGACGATGTATAATAAGGTGTATAAATGACGCCCTCATGCATCCTACCAGGACTAATTCATCTCGTATTGCAGAGTAACAACTGGCCCGTAGGAACGAGATCATACACTCTTTATTCGCATTTAAGAAGAGAGAGCACTCTCGTTTGAAAATTCATGATAGGCGAGTGTCAATTGAAGTTTTTCAGACTGGGATGTAAGAAAAAAAAAACAGTGTTAAAATTTAAGTGTAGGTTCGGCCTGTCGGTGCGCAGATGGCCCGAACTGTCCATCCGCTCCTTTCATACCAACACATCACTATGTATCCCTCCGCCTAGCGGAGTGATAGTTACACCTATTGAGAACTACATTTCGTTCTTATTCACCCCGTTCAACCAAACGAAATGAGATTATAAAAAAACAGTTTCATTTATCATTACAGAGGGAACGAATCACATGAAAATAACTGTACAAGATTTCAACGACTGTGTACGTTGCAAGAATCACAGTAAGTAAGTAACGATAATATTTTTAAAAATTGTATTGTAACTGTATGAATCGCGCATGCCCATCGTGAACACGCAACGACTACTGGTCGAACTATACTTTGCGCCCGAACTTGCCCTAACGGAGCCCCGTGCGCCGCCTGCACACCATTTTCACCCTGAATAAAGCAATTCTTCAAATGACAAATGTGAGCAGAAATCTCGAGTATATTCATTCCTTGAAAATTTACAACTATAATGTTTAATATACCACAGAAGAAAACGGTAACTGCAGTAATATGGATATGTCTTTAACATCTCCGCTACTTTTAAAATACCATGAGTCCCCAGGGTAAAAAAAAGAACAAAACAAAAGTGAACATAAACGGACCCCTCCCTCGACAAAAATGACATTGTAGATATCTTGACCGACAAGGTACTTATGGAGAGTCACGTTTAGTAAAGTTTTTGTCCGTTCGCTGTATAAGAACTACTGATGTGTCATGAGTCAGTAAGACCTTGTTTCCAATGGTGTGCGCATTTTGCCTTAGCAGACGCATGAACTTCTCTCGTTGTTTCGAGTGTACCGCCGTTCGGAAATGCTTCATGTGCGAGAGAAAATCCAGAAGCTGTGCGCCTTCTTCCGAGCTGTCGTCGAAGCAGGTTGTAATGTCGATGGCAAAACGTGGGATGTCGAGAGTGTCGTGCTGGATGTTGTTGGCAATCAGGAATGACTGCAGAGTCTGTTTCGTGTAGTAACGGTAGCCAGCGATGTCAGGCGAGAGAAACTCACTCTGTATTTGAGACAAACTGTCTGTATCTGTCAATCGTCAAAAGAAAACAAAAACAAAACAAAAACAAGGAGTGTAATTTATTAGTGGATTTTATACATGTATAAAGGAACTCTTTTGGGTTGGAACTTCCCTGCGAAGACTGGTTGTAGTTTGACGCCTGTTAAACTCAGAGAGTGTCAAGTTGCCTGTACAAAGTAGACACCGCTTCAAAATTGTGACATTTCGGGCTATGAATTTAAGGTTAGATTATTTAGTAGACTGAAATTAATTGTTCAAACAGCCATACCCTCGAATTTGGCGGTCTGTGATTGTGATTTTCCGGGGAAGGAATTTCGAAGGCCAAAAGTTTTAACTCCAGAACACAGTGTTGGGGGTCTAGTCATAATTCCAGTCTACCATTTTACCAACAAAACTGACTAAAGGTGGGGGGGGGACTATAGAGCTATCTGTGTATGACCAGAGCTGTGCTTGACACATATACCCCCTCCAGCGACACCTCTGCACTCAACTTTTTCTTCACACAAACGTTTAAGTGTCTGGACAGCAGTCTTCAGTGTCTTTACGCCTTTCTGGACATCGTTGAGTATCTGAATCCATAGCGGCGCAAGTGTCAACAGCCAGCGGAAACTAGTTTGGTGGCTCATATCCACTGCTGGCAATCCGTAGGCCTACAATACAAAAAGCTGCGCATTCAATGTAAACACACTTAGTTTTTTTCATCATTTCTCAGTGACCATGAAATATAGCTGGTTGGTTTCCTTTCTCCCAGACCTTTGATATACAAAGTATTAAAACAGCACTGAAGCTTTAGTCATTCCAGGGCGATGTGTACCTTTTAAATTCTACCTTGAGTGCCAAAATTTTAAAAATGCCAATGGTTTGCTCAAATAATTTCAAGTTGCTCGTAACAATGGCTTCAATAAGGTATTGTTTGTACTTGGTACAATGTACATACAGCTATTTCACCTTGCGCCCTTGTCATTATGCAATTATGCATGTCACACTTTTGGCGTAATACTATGAAAATTGCCGACTCCGAAACAGATTTTTAAAACCCGAAATTAAATGTTCACGTCATCAATCCGTTCCGAGTGGAACAAAAGAGGGAGTGCTTATTTGGTACTCACTGCATAGCCGCGTGTTTGTAATGGAGCTCAATGGCGCATTTGACGTGGATCGGAGCACGCTGAGTACTAGTACGCATAACGAATTTATTCCTTAATGTATAATGCTACGGTCTTTACGTACACGCAGAACGCGTGCAAGAACCCGACTGGAAAACCTACAACCATCTGTCTTTCTTTTGCCGCTTGGGGTGTACTTCAACTCGGGGCGGATTCTCTGTCTGTCATCATCCGGTATGTAACTGACGTCTCTTCAGTTTAAACCACGCCCACTGCACATAGAGTTACATGGAACCTTGGAACCGGACGTTAACGTGCAACGTTTAAGGTTGCACTCATTGAGAGCGTTCGTTTTAATAGCCATCACGTGATCCTCGTGCCTGCCCTGGTGTCAGCCATTACTACCCCGGCTGGCGAGCGGGTCTCTGGAGGCTGCCCGAGTGTAATGAAGTCACGGATGGACTGTTCGTGCATGGACGTACATGGTGGAACGTGGCGGGGACTTGACCTTTTTCCCAGAATGCCTTGGCGAGCACACTGCAGCGTTCGATACCCTCATTTCGAGGCTTCCCTTGGTGTAACACTGGTGTATTCAGGGAAGCTAATCGAACGCACTCACTGATCTCCATTATGAAGATCAATGGTTGCACTACACCAAATACGCGCCCATAGTAAACAGTGCAAAATCAGACCGAAATAGCGCCGCCTGTTGACTTTTGGGAAGAGGTTGGCCTCCATTTTTTTCACTGGAAATTCAAAATTATCGCCAGATCACTTTTTGTTTCAGGTGTATGGGGGTTAACCACGATTTTTCTTATTCGCCTATCCCCAAAGATACCCCAAAATAGTAGTAAAACTATGCGCTCAGCTAGCTCTGAATGTAGTCGCCAGCCTCTCTCCTGGAAACTACCACTCCTAAATTCTGAATTTATTGAAACACTTCCATGATCCCTCCTGATATGACATGTCTCATTGTAAAACCCCGACGAAATGATGGAATGCACCCTTAATAGTGTTCGTCCAGGGATCCTGCAATAAGTGGTGTGTCCGCGTGTGTGAAGAAGTCACTTACGAACCAGATTAGCCCTTTATCTGATATTCACTATTTCGGATTAGATTGAACGAAAACGCTAGCATTATGCTGATCCATGCAGTAAACATCTTCCTGCAGTTGTTATTGCGCATTTCACGATAGATTTAATGGATCAATGCATATCGCAGCGTCTCTTCCGAATTTCACCCAAAGTATAAATTTTATTCAGTTTGTTCCATTTCAAGAAATTTAACTACATGTATAGGCATTTTAACTATACTTGTATTCGATACCTGATAAAAGGACGATTACCAGAAATCCGTCCTCTGTCAACAGGTCGTATAGAACCGGAACTTTTTCTTCCATGCGGCCGCCGTAGTAAATTGAGTGAACCGATGTGACGACGTCAAACTTGTCCCTCCTGTCGCTATGGGCTAAGTGCGCCTCCAACGTCTGCTGCTGCCAGTCGAACCTCACGGCAGCTGACAGTGCGTTGTCGCCTCTGACCAGCCTTTCATACAAATTGATCTGATGAGCACTGGGCTCAATGACACGATTGTAGACGAACTTAAATTTTTCCAGAAGGGCTTGGAGGATCTGAATTTCTAGTTCTCCTGTTAAAAATAAGTGTAATGGGCCGTTCAAGCGTTAGGGCCTTATTGTTCAAATTAACAGTCAAAATACAAACGTTTCAAAGGGGAAAAATTGAACTTATTTTTTCGTTCACTAATTCTAAATGCAAAAAGCTCAAGCAATAAAAGGGACAAAATCTGTTAATTTCCGTTATAGGAAGATGGAGGCCACTATCGAGATGGAAAAAACACACTAACCTTACCGCATACCGCTGGACTTACCGCTGCAACCTTTCCGCTTACTTATCGGTCCATCAGGAAAGAGAATTAACGTTTTGCTATTTTCTGGTATAATTCAATTTTCTAAACTTCCATAATCATACCAATAAAAGAAAAAAAATGGAAAAGACCCTCACCAGAGCCACTGCCTACACCCATGTGCCGTAGCAAGCCATCCTCAGCAGATCTCTTGGTATCATCTTGTCCCGTAAGTCTGTGCTCGGTGCCTCTCCCGCGTAACTTGTCCCGAATTGCCGCTCCGAGCACTTGGCGGTACCATGTCTCGTAAGTGTACGGCATGTCAAATTCCATGAATCGAGAGAAAGTCTGGTAACACTGCTGGTAATATTTTGCGTCCAGCGGAAGTGTTGGGTGGAATTTTCCAGAATCACAACTCTCCATTTTCTTCGATTTTTGTGTCCAATTTTGTTTCTGACGGTATAAGTTCAACTAAGCGAACCTTTCTTCATTGCGGAAATCTTTGGTATTTATAAATACAATACGAAAGTACGTGAGAGTTTTGGTTTGTTGCGTTTTACACCGAGGACGCAATCCATCTCCATACTTACAAAGGGGAGAGCTTGTCAATTTCATTGCATTCCTTTTATATTATCTAGATCGGCCTTAAATTCACTTTCGTCCAAACCCGTTTACGGTCACTGGTTACAGTGTTGTTTCCAACAACGTGTCAATGCTGAACATAGCCTTGTGCCAGTTAAAATAGTTCGAATTTATTATCAAGGGCAGGCCTATTATTCCGATCCCTGTCCTTTATTCCTTTCAAGTTCATCAAAGTTACCGTGGAGATCCAACAGATTGTGTTGTTCTACACGACCTCTTTCCGCTGGAAGGAAAAGAACAATAAATCTACGCTTGGTTCATCGCATTTAAGGCGAAATATGATGACGATTGTAGTGAAACCCTAGCCTGTGGTAGTAGCATAGCAGGAGGCGGGGTTCATCGCAAAGTTAATTGGGATGAGTGCGATTGATCCGATGACACAAAGATTCCAGATCACACACAGCAGATAGGAATTACAGTCAATCAATGGCTGGATTTATTAGAATCTTGAAGAAATCAAAAGTTAATCAAGGTGGTAGAATCAGGAAGCTGGTGCATGAAAAATGTGAAGATCTCTGGTCACAAAATCTCTCCGGTAAAAAAATCCCTGGTAAAGAATCCTTGGGTGCAATGCCTGTCTACAGGTGTGTCGGACCCTGTTAGAATGCCACTTGAAGATGTTGGGTCCTACTAAGTGTCATTCCCACGGAAGTGTGTTGACCACAACACACCCCTCTCCAAGAAGGCTGGGCAGGAGAAACCATCTGCCTAATTAGTCATCTATATGTTTCCACTTTTCCCATAGTTTTTCCTTTTCCGACTGACCATATGTTTTCTTGGCCAATCCATCTCAGAAGTGGGCGAATAACCTTAAACTGACTATAAAAATGGAGACCACATCCTGGTACGTGATCTTGAGAAAGTCTTATTTATGAAACATGAGATCATTCCTTATCCAAGAAAACTTAGTGACTAAAGACCATACTGCATCAATTGTTCCGAGCACATGGCCCACCCATTATAAGAGGCCCAGGTCGCCCTGTTCTCCTCAGAAGCGATCTGAGACCTGATGAGAAGGCTGTCTCCAGGTGCTGTCTGCACTTTACTTGTGAGACAAAAGTTGTTGACACTTTTCTCTTTCTCATCACTGACCTGTGTGCTTTGTTGGTGCCTGAATTTTTTTTCTTATTAAACATCTTGATGTACTTTGCCTTGGTAAGTTGGTAGGGCACATCATGATCAAAGAATAAGTGCTCAGACGTTAATCACACTGCAACATCCGCACTTTTTAAAATATTTCAGTTCCTATTGTATATTCCATTTAATAATTCTTGTTTTTTATGGGAACGATCATTTAGTGGAGATATTTTTGTACTCTTTATGTTTCACTATCTTAATATTAGGAAAGAATCTTTGTGGAATAGTTTACTCGTGTTTTAGGAGTATTTTACTGCATCACTGCTTTCTGTTGAATAACTTGCGCAACTTGATAAGCGTGTGTTTTATTGTTATATTCGTGTTCCCCTACTCGCCAACTTTTCGTCATTGGTGCTTCAAGGAAAATGAGAATTCCAGATTTTTTAGTCACTGTTATGTAGGCCCACACAATTTAGTTCACATGCCATATATGGTTCCTGGCCATATGTTTGTTGCCATGTGCATGGAAGTAAGTGTGTAATTCTACCCTAAACTGACCTTGAGTAAGGCCAGCCACCTTTAACTATTTATACGTTGCTCTAGCTTATTCTACATGTACTTCGCATTGACCAGCTCGCCTATGATTGCCTATGAAGTTTTAGCGAACTTTCCCTGATATTATTTAGTGTATTTTTAAATAAGGTTATCTGGGTGAACATATTAGTTATGTGTTACTTAATCATAATCTTGTTTATTCCTTCGTATGACTTATTCGGTTAGTTTCATTGTATCTTAGTTTTATTCCTATTATGCATAGTTAGGATTATGTATTAGTTTTGGCGTAACTAAACAAGACTGTTGATCTTTGATTAATTAGAAGAACCGATCTGAGACCTGATGAGAAAGCTGTCTCCAAGTGAGTAGTGGGGGGGGCCTGTTTGGTACACTTTTTATAGTACACTTTTTATAGTACACTTTTTATAGTAGACTTTTTATAGTAGACTTTTTATAGTACACGTTTTATAGTACACTTTTTATAGTACACTTTTATAGTACACTTTTATAGTACACTTTTTATAGTACACTTTTTATAGTACACTTTTTATAGTAGACTTTTTATAGTAGACTTTTTATAGTAGACTTTTTATAGTACCCGTTTTATAGTACACTTTTTATAGTACACTTTTTATAGTAGACTTTTTATAGTACACTTTTTATAGTACACTTTTTATAGTAG